CTATTATGGGTTACAAAAAACCAAAAAATTCGATCATGGATTACAAAAAAACAAAAACAATTCGATCATGGATTACAAAAAAATTGATCAAGTATTACAAAAAAATCTATCATGGATTAACAAAAAAAAAAAAAAAAAAAAAACAAAATAAAATAAAATAAAAATAAAAATCTGTACGGACTCGCCGATTCCGTACAGTGAATCGGCGATTCACTGTACAGAATCGTCCGGTTCTCTCTAGAACCGAACGATTTCCGATTTTTTAGGCGATCCGGTCCCTTTTTCACGATTTCCGAGTCGAACCGGGCGAGTCCGATTCGACTCGGCGTTTTTTAAAACACTGGTTTAAAGGTTTTTCGACACTTAAATTACAATTTTCGATGACTTATAAGGTGAGGCTTTGGTTTGCTTATTTTAATAGGGTTGCAGCCCTATCCAAGCATTTTCCTTTACAAAAAAAAAAAAATTAAGAGCTGTGACTTTTAAAATGAAGTTGAGAAAACTCATTAAACCATTGAAACTCTAATTTGTCTTCGATTTTTCTTTTCCATCCATGAAGACTAACCGAATATAATTCCCTTTTGAGCATTGAAAGTGTAGGTTGAATGTTGGATAACATGCATTATAAAGTGGTTTTTTCTTCTTCTTTTTTTTTTTTTCCAAATTACATTAAAAAAAGGTATTTTTATTGGTATTATGTCACATTTAATATTTTTACCTGCACTGCACCCTCCACAAAATGCATAAAATTATATACATGTATGCCCAATTTCTTACCTGTTTTAAACTGAAATATGAACTAATCACATTACACAATCTTTTTGACCGTTAGATGTGAAATCAGAAATTTAAGGTATGCCACTAATTGTGGATAATGTTCTCGAAATTTTTTTTCAAATATTGTGACATATTTTTTATCACCAGGTTTCAAATTCAATGTTTAAACGTGATTGTGACTTTCTTGTACTAAAAGTAAATGATTCTACTTCATAAAATTTTATTTTACCTTTTAAAGAAATTATAATGATGACAAAAAATTTTATGCTATTGTGGAAGCATATTATCCATTACTCCCGTATTAAAATTCAACCTAGGAATCTCATGACTCCAAAATTTGCAGATGTAACCTCGTCAAGTAGTCGACTAACTTCTATAACAAAAGTTTCCAACTGGCACTCTTGAGAGAAATGTCTCAAGATTGAATGTAGCCCGTCCAATTCTTGGAGGGTAAGATTTAAGGATAATAATTAAAAATCCAAATTCTTTTAAAAGTAATTATGTACTGATTTTATGAAGTGGTTCCCAAAATTTTAAATTGAAAAAGTCTTCCCCAGTATATATTTTGCCCGAGGGAATGAGTATATACTATGCTCCTACAAGCTGCAAGATGAGATGCTCAAGAGTAAGAATGTATGGTCCCGTGATAAATGTGTAGCACTAGATGTGGACAATAGACTAGGCTATTCTCTTGAGTATTTTTATTTTTTTTAGTTGACACATATTTATATCTTTTTAATAAGTTGAGTGCTTTGTAATTAGGAGGATTCTAAAATATTAGTTTTCTAAATATTTTTAAAAATTGGACGAGTGCGTCGAATTGGTCACTCATCGGTTATAAACATAACAATGAAAGAAAAACCATGAGAACGTAGGAATGATCAAAACCAATGCACCCTAATCAATTCTGAGTCGACTCGTAGGTTTTTAAAAACTATTTTAAAATAGAAGATTTGGGGTCTTTTCACCATTTGCATTTCACAAAAATCATTTATTATAATTACATGGATTTTTTCATGAGAAATCCACAAACCAAACTCAAAAAAGAAAAAAAAAAAAGAAAGAAACTCTTCTTAATTTTTAAGGTTTGAAACCCTACCTTCCCCCCCTTAGAGAGTTTAATTCCGGTAAGTTTAAAGGCTAAATACATGGCTTGCTCAAATCTCATTGCTTCTCATTGTATTTGATGCTCTCTCTCTATCTATCTATTATTAAATATTGAGACTCTTAATTGCTATGAATTGTGAATGTTAATGGCTTGATCATAAACATATGAATATAAGTATTGAAATTTTATTTCAATTGTCATGCTTATGTTGTAAAATAATTCTATTGGTTTTTCTTACTTTTCTATTCTTTCAGGTTTTGTATTTGCTAGTTATTAAATATCTAGAAACATGAAGTCTTCCCCATCGGCTGAAGCGTATTTTTTATATAATTATAAAATCATAACCCTCTTCTAACATAGGGTGTATTTATTTCTAAGCCTTTTCCTGGGTATGGTTTGTATAAGGTCAAGGCCCTAAACAATCAAAGTAAGGCACACCTATAAATAATGTCGAAAGATGTCGTTTTAGCCCCGAAAATCTTTGTGATGCCTGAAAATTTATTTGCATCTCTAGTTATAAAATTTAAAGCTTCAAAAATAGTGTAAGTCAATCTGATTTATGAACACTTAAAAATCTTAGAAATTACTGGTCTAGATATTGCATTATAAGAAGCACTATTTTCAAGACTTGAAGTCCATTTTATTATGTCTATGTATCGGATTTGACGGTTTTTTGGCATTGAAACAATATCTTACAGTGAGTTTTTGAGGTGCGCCTTAATTTGATTGTTTAGAGCTTCAACTTTATGTAAACTCTTTCCTTTTCTAAAACCATAGCAAGAGTCTCACAATCCAACTTACTTTCCTTGAAAATTGATTAAAACACACATTAGGGATTACCTACTTAACATTTTATCAATATCTTTTAATTCAATTTAATAAGGGATTGTATACACTAGACCATTTACCTACTGTAAAAAGAGGTCAGAATTACTTATAACCATCCAATATGGTGTTTAACAAAGATCAAGAAAACTCCTTTTAAACTTTAAGATTGGCCAATAGAATAAATGCAGCCACCCAATTTCACATCTAATGGTCAAGACTAATTGTGACCATCTTATACAAAAGCTAATTAATCTCGTTATATATTTTTCCATTCCAAAACCCATCAAAATACAAAAAACCATGTGTTAGAATATTTAAAAAAAGGTAAATTGCTAATTATTAAAAAAGTAAGGTATATTTTATTAGTCATCTGCATCCAATGAGAATTTTGATAGCTTGGTTGTGCCACAAAATTCGAGAAAAGTTCTTTTGAAATTTAATAGAATAAATGCAGCCACCCAATTTCACATTTAATGGTCAAGATTAATTATGACCACCTTATACAAAAGATAACTAATCTCATTATATACTTTCCCATTCTAAAATACCCATCAAAATACTAAAAGGTGTGGTTTCTATAAGGTTGCAACCTTAAACAATCCAATTAAGGTGTGCCTTCAAAATTTATCATAACATGTATTTTTGGTGTAAATTTTTTTAGGATTATCTGAAAATCTATTTTCTGATCTGATTATAAAATTTTAAACTCCAAAACATGGTTAAAATCAAGTATATCTTTGAAAATATGAAAATCTTAAAAATAGACCCTCTAGATAATATGTTGCAAGATGCACTATTTATGGCACTCAAAATACTTTTTTTTTTATATCTATACATCTTGTTGTCAAGATGATCAAATAGAGGGTTTTTCAACATTAAAACAACCTTTTCTGATGGATTTTTGAGGTGCATCTTTTATTACATTTTAAGGTTATAACCTTATGTAAGCTTTTTCATGATACTAAAAACCATGAGTCAAAGTATTTTAAAAAAGGTAAATTGCTAAATTACTAAAATGCTAGGTATATTTTTGGGTGAGGTTTGTATAGAGCCGAGGAAATAACCAATCAAATTAGAGCACACCTTCAAATAGTGTCGAGAAATGTGTTTTCAATAATGGAAAGTTTTGTGATAGCCTTAAATTATATTTTCATCTTTAATCATAAAATTTAAAGCTTAAAAAATAGTGTAGATCTAGCAGATCTATGAAAACTTGAAAATCGTAAAAATTGACAATCTAAAAATATAACAAGATGCACTATTTTCAAAACTTGAAATCTATTTTTCTCATGTCCATACATCTTGATGTTGAGATGATCAATTTGAACATAAGCATCAAAACAGCCTCTTTTTGTGAAATTTTTGAGGTAGGCTCTAATTTAATTGTTTAGTGCCTTAGCTCTATATAAACTTTTTCCTTTTATTAATTTCCTTAGTTTCTTGATGTGCATCGTAACAATGAAAAATGGATCTATGATTTTTCTTTCAATTGATAAAAGAAAAAAAAATCACACGTTTATATATGATAGCACAAAGAACCTAACAAAATGATTCTTCAGAAGCACTTCATATGCACGATTGATGAACCAGTGTCCATGTACTCCTCTTTTGTGATCCACATCTGTAGAAGGAAAAGAAAAGATGGCTTACTATTATACCAAGAATAAATAAATAAAGGTTTTATTAAGACGCCAAGTGCACTTTTCTCCAAATAAAAAATCAATAGAAATGCGCTCAAGGCTAGGTAGTCGGCATAGTAGGGTTCCACACCTTGGGTTACGTTCTTGTTACAGGTAGGACTCTCACTTCTAAACTACCCAAAAGAATTATATAGTATTTTGTGATGGAAAAAATTTATATAAGTTTGCAACTTTAAAATATAAAATTATGACGCATCTAAAAAATCCATTATCAAATATTGTTTTGATGTTGGAAAACCTTCTAATTGATCATCTCAACATTGACATGTATAAATATAAAAAGAAAAGAGATTTTGAGACTCAAAATTATATATCTCACAACACATTATCTGGATCGTCCATTTTCAAGATTTTCATGTGTTTATAGATTTACTTGATTTGAGCCATTTTTGGAGTTAAAAGTTTTATAATTAGTGATCAAAATAGATTCTCAAGCCATGATAAGAATTTTTAACACCAAGTTTACATTTATGATAAAATTTGGAGGCGCGCCTTAATTTGATTGTTTAAAGCTGCAAGCTTATGCAAACCACACCCTTTTGTGATACCATGCACCAACATGATAAACCATGGATCTCTGCAATCCATTCCCAATGATGGATCAAATGGGGATAACTATAGTTCAATGAATTGTGCATCATACACAACAAACAATTTCTGTGTGGTTTGCTTTCCTTCTCTGTATCAGAGACAGAAAAGCAATTGTGCCCCATTAGAGAAGACTGCAACTCTCATGGGGATTGATAGAAAGTAAAAACAAGAAGCAATACCTGTTCAAATGTGCTAAGAGAAGCAAGGATGGATCCACCAATCCAAACACTGTACTTCCTTTCTGGAGGAGCGATCACCCTCACCCTCACAGATTCTGGTGCCAGCGAGCCCAACTCCTTGGCTAGCCGCGGTGCCAAGCCTGGGATCATTGTGGTGCCACCGCTAAGCACCACATTGCCATACATTTCTCTTCTGATGTCAACATCGCATCTCTTGATCGAGTTGAACACTGCTTCATGAACTCCACCTGACTCTACACCTATTCTACTGGGATCAAACAACACCTCTGGGCACCGAAACCTCCCTGATCCCATCGTTATCACTTGACCATCGGGCAACTCGTATTGTTTCTCGATGATTGAGCTCTCGCATGATTTAGTCCACTCTTTGTCATAGTCTAGTGCTACATATGAGAGTTTTTCTTTGATGTCCCTGACAATCTCTCTTTCTGCTGTGGTAGCGAAAACAAGACCATCTTCCATGAGGATCCTGGACAGGGCATCCGTCAGGTCCCTGCCTGCGAGGTCGAGTCGGTGGATGGCGTGGGGCAGTGCATAGCCCTCGTAGATGGGGACTACATGGGTGACACCCTCGCCGGAGTCCATCACAATTCCTAAAGATTAATTAGCAGAGGAATTAGAATTCAGTTGAGTTATAATTCATAATCAGAGTCTTGTTTTAACTCCCTGCATTATATAATTCATACCCTGTTTGCATGGCCCAACAACCTCAACTAAGAGGGGTGTTATTTGGAAGTCATACCACGCACTATGCTTTCCAGTGAAAACAACATGGGAAAGTGGTGGTCTAGTGGGCGAAAACTTTCTTAGATATTTCTTTCCCGTGAAATAAACGACCCCTGTTGGTTGATCTTTTGGAGAGAAAAATGTAAAATGTGTGGATAGGTCATCATCGAAATCTTTTTTCAATTAATTGGGGTCTGCTACATGAATTTTAGTCGTGGTTACTAAAAAAAGTAGATGCACAAACAATCCTCATTAAAATAGTGATAATTATTTATAAATAAATTAGTAGTAAAAATTGAAAATGTTTGAGCTCGATTAATTGAACAGGCTTGACTTTAGTCTTTTAGAAATTTTTTTTTTTTCTGAAAGATATCTTTCAACCAAACAAAAGCGCCGTTAGGGAGAAAAGTGAAAAATGTATGGATAGGTCATCATCAATGTCTTTTCCCAACTAATTGTAGTCGGCTATAGGAATTTTAGTCATGGTTACTTAAAAAAGTAGATGCACAAACAATCCTCTCATCAAATTAGTGACAATTAATTAGCAAAAATAAATTAGTAGCACCTAAAATTGATAATGTTTGAGCTTGATTAATCGCACAGGCTTGGCTTTAGTCTTACTAGAGCCATGCTAAGTCGACCTTCCGCATATTTGGCCGGGTAAAATCAATGTTATGTGGTGACTGAGACTCATGTCAGCTTCCATCAAGTCCCATAGATGTCTAGTACTTCGTCTTAATAAGTTGATACAACTAGACACGTCCTTACATTCACATTTTATAAACAAAATATTTTGTTTAGTACCATACATAACATAGTTTTCTGTATCGTTTTTTCGCGTGAAGTTGGGACCTAATTCAAACCTATTTTGGAGGGAAAACCTCAATAACTGGGCTAGGGTAGAGAGAGAGAGAGCAATACCAGTGGTGCGTCCACTCGCGTAGAGAGAGAGCACTGCTTGAATGGCAACAAAGGTGGCAGGGACCTCGAAGGCCTCGAACATGAGCTCCACCATCTTCTCCCTGTTGGCCTTTGGGTTGAGTGGTGCCTCAGTGAGGAGCACCGGATGGTCCTCAGTGCAGACCCTAAGCCCCCCCTCAAATGTGTGTTGCCATATTCTCTCCATATCCTCCCAGTCTGTAACAATGCCATGATCAATTGGATACTTAAGGGACAATACTCCCCTCTTAGAGAGAGCCTCTTCTCCAACATAAGTGTCCTTTTGCCCTATCCCCATCATAGAGTTCTTGTTCCTAGGCCTCCCCACTATGCTAGGGAACACCACTCTTGGTGCGTCGTCCCCCGCAAAGCCAGCCTACATGAAAAAATTTCACGACAACAATGTAAGTCTACTATACAAATGACTACCATACAAAGGACCTACTTAGAAGGATTTTTTTATCTAAATTTTGAATCTATTT